AATGCGGTATCGTATGAACACTTCCTTATGTACATCTTTACCCCAACCCATCTTTCATAATTTCACACAACTGATCCTATTTCACGACGCGAAGGAACCCCGAGACATTCTCTGCGCATTTTCTTATGCCCTGTGCGTATGCTGTGGTGTCCGCTCTGATAGGCACTCAGAGTGTAGTACTAGCGAAGGCACTCTCGGTAGGTATTAAAGTTACTACGTGTATGTGTGTATTAAAGTTACTGCAAGTATGTATGTATTACAGTTTCTACGCGTATGCGTGTATTACAGTTACTACAAGTATGTGTGTATTATAGTTACTACAAGTATGTATGTATTAAAGTTACTACGCGTATGTGTGTATTAAAGTTACTACACGTATGTATGTATTAAAGCTACTACGCGTATGTGTGCATTAAAGTTACTACACGTATGTATGCATTAAAGTTACTACACGTATGTGTGTATTAAAGTGACTACATGTATGTATGTATAAGTTACTACAAGTATGTGTGTATGATAGTTACTACAAGTATTTATGTATTAAAGTTACTACGCGTATGTGTGTATAAATTACTATAAGTATGCGTGTACTATAGTTACTACAAGTATGTATGTATTAAAGTTACTACGCGTATGTGTGTATTAAAGTTACTACGCGTATGTATGTATTAAAGTAGCTACAAGTATGTATGTATTGAATTTACTATAAGTAAGTATGTATTAAAGTTTCTACAAGTATGTGTGTATTAAAGTTACTACACGTATGTATGTATAAGTTACGACAAGTATGTGTGTATTATAGTTACTACAAGTATGTATGTATTAAAGTTACTACGCGAATGTGTGTATTAAAGATACTACGCGTATGTATGTATTAAAGTTACTACACGTATTAAAGTTACTACACGTATGTATGTATAAGTTACTACAAGTATGTCTGTATTATAGTTACTACGCGTATGTGTGTATTAAACTTACTACAAGTATGTATATATTGAAGTTACTACAAGTATGGGTGTATTAAGGTTACCACAAGTATGTATGTATTAAAGTTACTACACTTACAACACATGAGGTGCTTGGCCGGCTTGATGATCGGTGGCACTCTTTACCATGTTTCGATAGTCAGATAAACCCTACACACACACACACACACACACACACACACACACACACACACTTTGTGTTTATGATGCTATAACACACTATTGTGATACTGTGCTGAACCCATTTGGCGTGCAACACAGCCTAACTAAGCGTAAATTTGTTTATTTGCTTACGAGGAAAGTACTTCTTTTCATCCAAATCAAACCTGTAGCTATGCTATCTTCGCAATCATCTAGAAACTCAACTCACTCAGGCCACAACCGCTTGTTTCACGGCAGAGTTTATTCCGGTCAACTATCGAGCGTGACTTGAACATGTTCTGGTCATTCGCAATCATCTAGACACTCACTCATGCCACAACCGCTTGTTTCACGACAGAGTTTATTCCGGTCAACTCTCGAGCGTGACTTGAACATGTTCTGGTCACTGCCCGCCTACGGCATAGCAAGTGGTTACTTGCTAACCATGTGCTTCTGGGTGCTGCGGCTCAACTATGCCTTGCAGAAGTTTGACGCACTGTTTATGGTGCCTTGTATGCAGGTGTGTGGTTGCGGTGTCATGTATGCAGGTATGTGGTTGTGGTGCCTTGTATGCAGGTGTGTGGTTGTGGTGCCTTTTATGCAGGTGTGTGGTTATGGTGCCTTGTACGCAGGTGTGTGGCTGTGGTGCCTTGTATGCAGATGTGTGGTTGTGGTGCCTTGTATGCAGGTGTGTGGTTGTGGTGCCTTGTATGCAGGTGTGTGGCTGTGGTGTTCTTGAGTTGATAACACACGCATGCTTGTGCAAGGTGTGAGGTGTTTGTGTTTGTATAAGGTGGTATGCATGGTATACACGGGCATATTGTTGATGGATCTTAGCACGTCGATTATAAACCCACATATAGTTTTTTTGTATATATATATATATATATATATATATATGTGTGTGTGTGTGTGTATA